ATCATTGTAAACTAATACATTCATTGATATAATACGCAAATACATTTTAATTACTGAGAGATTGCCTCACATCGGAATATTATTAAGTAGAATATAATGTTATATTAATGTATTCTATTATTCTAATATACTCACTCATATCGATACTATGTATATAGTATATATCTACTATCTACTGCATAGTTATAAATAATATTTATGTATATTATACATTGTACATAAAACCTCGTAAAAACTTGCAATAAGTAGGTCTTGTCATTTTTTTCACGAATATAAATTAATAATGATATTAAATATGATTATTATTTTAGCATTCCATTGTTTGTCTGGCTTGATTGATATGATTAAAAATAATTTTTGGAAATAGATTTTGAGTGTTATTGGTACACATTGCATTTCAAAAAGGCGGTATTAATACATCGTGCGAATGTTGATATGATTATTTTAGGGGTACCTTTTGGAAGTATTTGGGGTGCTCGATCAGATTACGGTCACGGACAACTAAGTTCTAGACTATGTCGCAGACGAAAAGCTCGAACTGTATTTTCCGATCAACAACTCACGGGACTTGAAAAAAGATTTGAAGTACAGCGATATTTAAGTACGCCAGAGAGGGTTGAACTGGCTACCGAACTGAGATTATCTGAAACACAGGTGAATAATAAATTCATAATAATTTACGTATACKCATTTATATAACTATAGAGACAGTAGATATGTTGTATTTATACTCAATGGTGTTAAATCATTAAAMTTTAGGTCAAAACATGGTTTCAAAATCGAAGGATGAAACATAAAAAACAATTRAGAAAAGTTAATGACGATACAGCGGCTATTGGATCAGAGAAACCTGCAGACAACACTGGGAACAAATCGCTAACCACAGGTTAGTCAARCATTACAATTATAATTACAATATAATAGAAGAGTTAGGTTATAGGTCAGTTTATACTATAATGTTATATACTATGTTATAATATTTATACCAATATACCATACAAGTATCTACTGAATTATCTATGTATAACCTRATCAAAGTGTTGAATATATTAACATTACTTCAGATTATCCTGTGGACTTTTCATCTAAAGGATCAGTTTGCGGTGGACTAGATACTGGCATCCAGGAATCCAAGGATTTAGCTCGACAAAGTAGGTCGCTTAACAACGAAGATGAAAGGAGTCAACGATACGACCTGAGTGAAGTCTCTGAAGTAGATGACGATGATGATGTCGATGGTGCCGATGATGAGATCATAGATATTGTCGGTGACCACTCGCATATACTTAATACCGTACAGCGAAATTACGAACAACATAGATTTTTCTAATTAAAAGCTAAACTATCTTTTATTATATTCTATTATCATTATTATTACTATTAAACTGTGCACAGAACAGTTAGAAACCAATCTTATCTATATTTCTTAAAATATTTCAAATTTTCAAACATATACCTAATTACTTATTAGGTAGGTACATAGATTTATTAATTTAGATATAGTTTTATAATTATAATATATATATTAATATGTAATGTAAAAAGAAACAAAAAGTTGTCTGGCAAATAAGAAAACGAATATTATGTTATCTTTGGCGTTATACACTTCCAATAAAATTGTTTGTCTTCCAATTTTTTATGATTTGCTATATTGTAAGTAAACTAACATTTATATTTAAATAGCTCAAATGTATAATAAATACATATTAGGGATTAATTATTATAAATTTATAAGGTTAAATATAATTTTAAACGAAAAACCAGTAATACATAAACTATAAAGTATATTTTGAATTTGTTATTCTACTACACATTATTATATTATTATTGATTGTACAATTGAATCATAATCGTTTAATATCTAAAATATTGATTATTTAATATTATCTTTCTAACATAGAATATTAGGTAATAGAAGGTACAACTAAATTAAGTGAATGTCAAAATAAATTCAAAAGCTGATTAGCTATTTTAATATTAAACAAACATTCTATTTATTAGCTATAATTATATAATTTACTATACTTTTAAAGATAGGTCATTTTTTAAAAATATATAATTTATACGCATTACCAAGACCAACACTCGTCATATTGGTATCTGAACAATTGTAGATTGTYATCGATGGTTACCTCGTTTGAGCATAATTACAAAAAATCCACTAAAGTGCGTACCGAACGCCAATATCTAAATATTTATTTTTTCTAAWTTAAAATTTAATCCAAAAAAATGTCTATAAAATCATTGAAGTTACGAGACGAGTATATTATATRTTTATATTTCATCATTAAAGATGTAAAGATACAAAAACGCACTTACAAATCTAAATAATCTATTAATCTAAAATCATATATTTCCCCAACATTCCATCAAGTCTATCATTGATTATCTATGGGATGCTGGAGGACTTAATGATTTTCACAAATTACTTATATAAAATATGTTATTTTCCTATAGGTTAGACGTCGAAGCGTCTTATTATTTGTATAGCTGATGACAATTATAAAGGTACTCTAAAGCTCTAAGGTAATATAATCCTATTATAATATATAATATGGATACCAAATTAAAGATACTGCAATTCCATTGAGTTGAAAATAGAAAATAAATTTTAATTTCAGTACTTTAACCGGATACATTAAAWCCATCTATAATTGCAGATTTAAAATGGAAAATTAATATTAACGTGAACGAGCATGAGCTTTATTAAGCTTAAGTGTTTTTTTCTTTATTAAAAAAAATATATATACTCCTTATTACAACCGCCATAATAATACACTATAATAACATACGTTTTACATTTTTACGATCGACCATTTTTTTTCGCACTTTAACGTGTGTTCATTTATACTCTTTGATATAGTTTGATAACATTATACGGTGTGCATATTATATATAGCAACGAGTAAAATTATTGAGTTATCCCGCCACGAGGGGTTATTTTTCTGCCCGTTCGTATATTGCCGTCGTCGTCATAATACTATACATATACATAAATGAATCGACGGGCGTGGACGACACTAATTTGATTACCTATATGTGATATTAAATAAAGCATCAATGGCCACGCGCCCGCCTAATAATAATGAAATGCTTACAATATAATATATAACCTTATCCGATGTAGGGGACGGCGAATATAAAGGTACCTATACAGCCGACGCTTGACTCTTGTCATTTCAATAATTTAACTCTATTATTTGCAATTACTTCTGAATAAAAACACTTCAAATCCTCTACGAAGAGCAATAAAGAAGGACATGTTGATTAAAATGTTAAACGTCTGCACCATAATCTATTTATATTCATTTAATTTGTAACAACATTTTCCCCCACGCAATAAAAATATGGTACCTACCCACCCATTACGTACCTGCCGTTTTTAGATTGTGAACGAAGTGATGAATGTATTGATTTTACAATGATGTGTTTTTT